CGATGTGATGTTGATCATGATATGATGATATGTTGGCATTTAGTACTTCGCAGTGCGTTGTAATGTTCTATACTTATCTTACTCATGATATGCATCGCATATTATATTGATATTATTTATATTATGTCATAAGTAAGGATTAGAAATTTTGTAATTCGATGCAAATAAWGTGATGTTATGTTTTAAGTTTCGATGTTGTGATGTGGGAAGTGGCCATTGGAGAGGTGATGTGAATTGTTGTTTCTTTAGCACTATMTAATGCGTAAATTAGAGCTCTTGGCCTTAATCGACTAACCGGATTAATCGGATAGTGTATTGTTCGAATAATAGAATTCCGCTTTCAGCATCTGGATAGTCGTAAATCAGAGCAACCACATATTCGAACAGAATGACTACTTAACGTTTTTCTACGACTATTCGATTAGCATTAATSGGTTAATATTCATACGAAYGGTTACAAACCGGTTATTCGAATAATCGGTTTTCAAGTTATTCGAATAATKTTAAGAGTCCTATGATATAGTGAAATTATAGATTGGCGATGTGTTTTGGCATCCAGTGACTTTGACGTCAGCAAATGTGATTAAGTGTATTTGATACACATATCATGTGATGAAAATGTGCTTTTTAAAATGCCTCTGATAGTATTTTGTGATTTGTTGATGTTATGTGCTTATAACGTCACATTATATAATGATGTGATATCACATGATGGTGTAAAGTTTTATGAAAATCGGTTTTTAGTGAATAAAAATATTGTGGAAGAACTTTATTGCATCATAWGATCTAATACTTAACTAAACAACTGATTATGCAATTTATCGAATCAAATTTTAGGAGTTGATATTTTTCGCACGACGTAATCACGTCATATACGCTATATTATTTTACAAAGCGACTAAATGTTTCATTATAATTTGACATTTTCCCAAAATTGTTTTTGCTTTGAAATTGCCGAAAAAAATTATTTTTAGTGAGGTGATTAAGTCATAACCGATTGACCCTCTCCAAAATTGTGTGACTTCACTAATAGTCACAGTATTGATAAAGCCAAATTGTTGACGAATCATTTAATTCACCTAAAATAATGCTCATCAATGGAAATTTCTTTCTTGGGGACATTTTGCTCGAACTTTTGGCCGAAAGGTTTATCAGCCATAATCTAATCTTGTTATATAAGCTTACTTAATACATAAGTACTTATTAATACAATGTTTATCTTATCGACAAGTAATATATTCCGCTCTGCCTACTAGTATTTATCATCGACCSTAACAACTAAAAAACTACCGAAATTCTTTCATTTATAGATTACCGTCACACTTCAAACGGACGTGTTAAATAAGCTGCGCTCTTGGCGATAACTTCCCAGTACGCGTTCGAAAGACGTGCAACGTGGACGTCAATTGCGGGAAGAGCTCCATAAAASAATTGAGTGGCCTTGTGGTAGTTTTATTTGACGCCAGCTGTCGAGATGTTTCGAATTTGYTTGCGCTTAGCGCTTGTCGCGTGTCTCTGTGGCGTCGTTTTAGCGCGCATCCATACTCGCAGTCAATTGGCCGCATCGCATATGGCAGCCTATGCTTATAGGCCTGATGGCAATGCACGCAATAATCGTCCGACACCGGAGGCTTACAATGCTGAACGCAACACATTCTTCCGCTATGAGGAATCCAGGGGTTTGGGGGCAGAGCTTCAGCTGAATGATCGCGAACTGCTTGCCAATCAAGTCATTATGGCAGCCAAGACGTACGAGTATGAGGAAGGACTTGTKACGCCACATCTCTTCAAACCGTCCAAACACTTCTTCAGTGTATTGGAGGACATAGCTAAGACGCCGCTATTCGCTTACCTGCAGGCGATGCCGAAAGGAGGTGTGCTGCATGCACACGATACAGCTATGTGCAGCACAGATTTTTTGATCACGCTCACGTATCGCGAGAATTTGTGGGCTTGTGAAAGTAGTGGCAGTTTGGAGGTGGTGTCTTTGCGTTTCGCCAGAACTAAACCGACACTTGCGGTCGATGGTAAGGATTGTGTATGGACGCTGTTAGCAGATATACGTGCTAGGCATGGCGCTGCAGCGGTGGACGAMTTTTTGCGCGAACATCTCACTCTGTACCCGAAAGAAAAGTTCTTGGACAATAATGAGGCATGGGCGAGCTTTATGGAGATATTTTCCTTGTTGGATGGTATGATTACTTATGCCCCCGTTTGGGCTGACTACTATTACAATGCGTTGAAGGAATTTCGTGCGGACGGCGTGCAATACYTGGAATTCCGCAGCACACTGCCACAGGTTTGTGATTTTTTCCAAGATTGTCATCGATTCGACAGAAGAATATAATTTTGATTAGCTTCATGAAAACTTATGATAATCAAATATTTCTTTGAGTAGTTCGWATTAATTAAAATAATAGATGCCTTATCTATTTCACTAAACTCTGATCTWATAACGCTTATTATTACAATATTATTTTTAAAAGCTTTATGACTTSGATGACGGAGAATATACTGAACTCGACACAGTGCGCATCTACAAGGAAACGTTGGAAAAATTTATGAATGAATATCCGGACTTCATTGGCTCGAAAATGATATATGCGCCTCTACGATGTGCAAGTCCCGAAACGGTTGAACAATATATACGCATCTGCGTCGAGATCAAGGTAAGACGCTTGGAAMCTTTTCACTTTTTMAAAATTAAAAAGAAAAAATCCCGTCRCTTTTAGGCCACATATCCCGAYTTTGTAGCTGGCTTCGATTTAGTTGGTCAAGAGGAGCTCGGCCGGCCACTGAAAGATTTCATACCACAATTACTTAGCGTACCGGCCGATATTGATTTCTATTTCCACGCCGGAGAGACGAACTGGTATGGTGCGGCCGTTGATGAAAACCTGATTGACGCTGTCTTGCTTGGTACGAAACGTATTGGACACGGCTTCGCGCTCACCAAACATCCGCTCGTCTTGCAGGCGCTGAAGGAGCGCAACATTCCCGTCGAGATTAATCCCATATCCAATCAAGTCTTGCAACTGGTCAGCGACTATCGCAATCATCCCTGTTCACATTTGTTTTCCGACAACTTTACCGTTGTGATCTCCTCAGATGATCCATCATTTTGGCGTGCCACTCCACTCTCACACGATTTCTATATTGCCTTTCTGGGTATCGCGTCGGCGCATGCTGACATGCGTTTACTAAAGAAATTGGCGATTAACTCRCTGGTGTATAGCGCCTTAAATGAGCAGCAAAAAGAGGTAGCACTCCAGAAGTGGCAATTGCAATGGGATGAATTCATTGAGAAGATCATCCAGGGCGATACAGATGSCGCTGCTGGTCGGCTGCAAACGAATCGGATCGATTGACTAGCACGGGTGGTGGCGGCGTTCATATTGTTGCCCGCTGTGCGCATGCGTTTGATGGGTTGGCTGTAAGAGTTGTTGTATATTGAGCGGCAAAGAAAAGTGGCAGAATGATGATTAAAGGGAAACGCATGTGTAGTGGTAACAATAGCGTCAGTCGGTGCTTAAACATCTGTGTATATATTCATATACGTGTGTATGTTTATTTCAAAGTAATTATTTTTAAGACACGAAGAGATTTYAAAGCAGAGCTAAATTTAGATTTAGCACTGTTTACAAAGGCATTATGTCTGATATCGGGSACTGCCGTCCAAGCTAGTTAGTTTTTTAATTTACATGGCACTCGTAGCCTCGAAGCTTGAAAACATTACAAAAGTTAAAGCGTTGAGTATTAGGGTGACATTCCAATGAAAATAGTAATTTCGATATATACTTATATATATCATTAAAGTTAATTAGCTGTAGATAGCCTGTACTCACTACAAATTTTGTGATTTGCTAAAAAGCTTTGCATTTTTTAAAGCTATTCAACAATGAACAGGCAGTTAAAATTTAGAAAGGGTTAATTTAAGGCTATAATATATGAATTTTAGTATTTTCGTAAGTATTTAAATGTTTATTTTCTTGATTAGAAATATAATGAAATAAGTAAATGTCGGCATAGTAGTCTCTAAAACCAAGTAAAGTGCACCACCATCAGGTCATGATTGGACTTGGGTTTTAAAAATATGTATTTATATTCGTAAATTTAATTTTATAAACAAAGCTCAAGGTCTTCTTGATATTGCCTTGCTAATTTAGTTATAAGCATATAATTTTTTTATGTAGAAATGTATGTATAAATATTATATTATATTGATTATATTGACAGTGGATGCCTTTCACAGCACTTCAGCATATATATTTTCCAATAGTAGAGTTTTTTAAAATAGGAAAAAAATAAATCATAAAATTAAAGTRAGAACATGTGGTATATGTATGTACATGTAGTTTGAGGCAATCGTAGGTTAGGAGAATTCACAATCATATATTTAATCAAAAATTATTTTAGAATTGAAATTAAACTATTTGTGCTTCATTCTTTTGGAATTACTTTCGAAACAAGTCGAGTTTCAAATCAGCTGGTTTATTCTACTCAGGAAACAAGAAAAAACTACGGCTGTACCGAAGCTATAATACCCATCACAAATGCATTTTTTGTAGTATAAAAGGATATAAAAAATAGTTTTCTTGATTTTGAACGGCTTGGATAATTTATTAGGAGATGATTGCAGCTATGCCTTCAAAATGAATACACAGTTCAACAGCTAATCTGGGGGGTGAGAAATTCCATGTCAGGGTGATGGTACAAGGTCAGTATAGTAAAACCTGTCTCTTATACACATCTACGATGTGATGTTGATCATGATATGATGATATGTTG